GGGGGGCGGCAGTCCCCCCCCCCCCCGTCTTCTATAAGAGCGCATTAGCAAGGCCGCCGCCTACCTATCGATCGCCTCCTTCCAAACATCGACGCAAAGGAGCCAGCGGCTGGATGCCAACAGCTTTGGTTCCGGCCGACGTCACTTTCGGTTTCATTCGACTCGACACCACATCGTCTCGCTCAAAAGCACGCGGGGGGCGGCAGAACCCCCCCCCCCCGTCTTCTATAAGAGCGCATTAGCAAGGCCGCCGCCTACCTATCGATCGCCTCCTTCCAAACATCGACGCAAAGGAGCCAGCGGCTGGATGCCAACAGCTTTGGTTCCGGCCGACGTCACTTTCGGTTTCATTCGACTCGACACCACATCGTCTCGCTCAAAAGCACCTCACACGTGGCGTCACACCTCCGATGAAAGGTCTGGGCGAGGGAATCATCGTGGTCATATGTCCCCATATGGTGATGCAAGGAGTGTGAAAAAAAAAAAAAAACAAACCACTGGGAATAAAGTGGGGAAATCTGGTGGCCTCAAACGAAATGACTTCGGACGAGTGCGTGTCGTTATTTTGCCGATAGCTCATCAACCGATGACACACACCAAAACACCACTTTTGGTGTTTGTTTCATGCAAGAAAATTCTTCAGAAAGTCAGTATTCATGTGATGAAGAACTGATCGAAAGGTGCGTCACAAAATTAGCTGGCACAGCACGACACTTCCAACGAAAGCTTTTCACGAGTTTTTGCAGATGTGTCCTCACTTTGATGACGTGCCCCTCTGAGGAAATCTTTTTTGTGTTGCGATCTATCCATGGATCAACTCCAGATGAATTGGGATCGCTCAGCATCACAACTGCGGTTTCAATTTCAACGATTCATCCAGCAATCGGCTTCAACTCCCAAATTACATTTTCTCGTCGTTTGCGTTTTTTTTTTTTTTTTGACACGCTTTTTTGTTTGCGTTCCAAAAAGGCGCAGATCCACACCCACTCGTGTCCCGTCTTTATTTTTCCCATCTGATGAGGAAAGCAGCAGAAATATCTTACAGGGGGGGTCACTTTGGTTATTTACAACATTTCCTTTGCATCGCTAAAGTCATGGAAAAAAAAAAACAAGAGGGGAGACACACACACACAAAGGAAGGTGGGAAGTTGGAATCCGGCGTGGCCTGACGGCGGCGAGGGCTGACGACAGACGATTGGTCGGAAATATCACGTATCGCAATGGGTTTTTTTCCTTGCGGCTTTTCACGCTATCATGGTTGCATGTGGCGATGATATCGCCGGGGTATCGTGAGACAAGCGCGAGTGTAGCGGTGACAGTGAACGGTGACACGGCGGCGATCAAATATTGTCATATCGCGAACGCTCCGTGTTCTCAAATATCTTGACATTCTATGGAGACGATTGCCACCACTGCCGGCGACCGGCATATCGCGATACTATTTCCAAAAATGGCGATTTTTGCGGCTCGATACTAGATTTGGACAAATGGCGCCGTGATCAAATATGGCGATATCGCCTCATCAGGCAAAGACTGTCCAATATTTTGTGGCATGATTCAACGGTGGCCGCCACAACCTCTCGCGCTATGGTTCAAAGTTTCAAAGAGGTGACCTTGCACGGCGGGAGATGACTACCAAATCACGACGTTCCCCAAATGTCCCGATAGCGTCGTGAAATACGGCCAAAGCATCGTGGTGGCAATTGCTCATGTTGGCCACAAATGTCCAGACTGTGATTTGTCCAATCATATCGTGAATCCGTGACAGATTCCGCTTGTCGAGTAGAAGCAAATAAATAGCAAGAGAAAAAGCGCAATTTCAGTGTGTGCTTGTAACATGTGCGGAGGGGAGTAACAGACCAAGACAAATGAAAGCCGCCGTGCCCCATTCGAGCCTCCCGCGTAATAAGATGAGGCCTTTGAATCAAAAGGGACATTTTTAATTTCAAATCCCACAAGGTGATTTAGCGTTGCGATGACTCCATTTTTAGACTCGCTCACTCGCCCCCGGGGGGGCCGAACTTGATGCTGCCGCTGCTACTTCTTCATGGGGAGATGGGAGGAAAGGAAAAAAAAAAAAGTTCCATTATAGCAGCGGTGAATAATTCACCGGGATGGGCTGAGTGTCGATAGCAGACAGCCAGCACCCGAGAGGAAATGGAAGAGAAAGAAAAGGACAAACGGGCACGGTCGGCACGGAGCCCAATCAGAAGTAGCGCGTCGAGGCCTTTCAAATGTACCGTCATCTTGCTTCGAGGTCAAAGCGTGGGACCGTCTCTCGAGTGCAAAGTCTGGATTCTTGAAACATACGGTTATCGCTCAGGGGGAACACGAGACGATTGACGCCGCATCTCCGGCAGTACGGGATCGATGCACTGATATCTCAACGGGGTCAGGAACTGGAGCCCGACGTCAAATATCCCAGTTGATCGTCTCACCGGAGGCACGGTGTTGCCACACGTCGCGATGTCGAGTTGCGACGCGTTATCGATGACCAAATGTTGTTTTGGGATTGCGTTGATGACTCCGCTTTCTATCGAGCTGCTTCCGTCGCGGGACCACGATTCTCGATCTTGGTCTTGCAAAATGGCGAACGGAAGCTCAAACCGGCGGCGGCGGCGGCGGTCTTGGGGGGGGCGCAGTAGATTCATCTCCCGACCGCAAATCACCGCCGGCGTGTTTATCTGGGAGAAAATTGAGTCGCTTGCCGGGGTGCAGTCGAGGCGCTATCGCTCGGCCGCATTCGCTCGCTGCTGTCGCCGCACGGGGGACGCTTTTTGCTTTATGGCTATCAGTCGCTCGGGTATTTTACACCCAAAAGGCCTTCCGTGACCATTGGTTGGATAACACAAAAACAAGCAGACGGAGTGAGACTCGTGTGCGCGCATGCGTATCGAGAAGCGCGTGTGGCCGGGTGTGTATAAGCGTTGAGTGAGGAACGGATGTTGTGAGGAGAGTGCTTTGGGGAGTGTGCGGGCCGTGCGCATTAAAGGCACATATAGCCAAGCGGGAGGAAACAAAGCTAAACAAGGTACGTTAGCGCCACCGTCAGGCCACAGACGAAAAAGAAGCAGCTACTTTTGGGCGGGGAGTGTCCAGGTGAGGTCAAACAGGGAGCGCTGGCGGCGAGGAGGGGGAGGAGGAGGAGATCAGATCGGAAGTTGGAAGGTGATGTCCACTTGGGCTTCCTTCGCCAGCGAGACGATTTCCGAAAGCCTGACCACCTGCCGACACGTGCCAACGCATGAGACGCTATTTCGCGGAAGCCCAAAGTGCGAGTGCGCGCCCGCCTACCATTTTGGCGGCTTCGTCCAGGTCGTCGCAGGCCAGGATTTTCAGCGGGCTGGCGGCAATCAGAGCTTTGGCATCGTCCACGCGCGTACCTAAACGGAAGCGGGCGTCCAGAGCGACAGCGCGTTTTGCCAACGTCCGATCCTCAACCACGTGCGGACGAGCAAGGACTTTTGGGCACCTTGCAGTCGCACGACGATGGGGATCTTGAGGTCGAGGTCGCGGACGGCCATGATGATGCCCTGGGCGATGACGTCGCACCTCATGATGCCTCCGAAGATGTTGACCAAGATGGCCTGAACCTGCGCGAGCACACGAGCGCGCCGTCGGGTGTGACGCCGGGCGCGGGGCCTGTTTTTTCCTCCGCAATCGCGCGTCGCGCTCACCTTCCTGTCGGACGTGATGAGCTTGAAGGCCTCGGTGACCTGGTGGGCGGTGGCCCCGCCTCCCACGTCCAGGAAGTTGGCGGGCGTCCCCCCGTGCAGCTTGATGATGTCCATGGTGGCCATGGCCAGGCCCGCACCGTTCACTGCAATACGAGCGCAACTTAGTTTCCGACGTGACATCTCAAGTTAGCGCTCAGGAAGGGGCGCTTCCGACGTTCGAGCTCAGGAAAACAAATGTTTGCCGCGGACGTCAGCTCCAAATTTGCCGTCCAACGTGGGCTTCAAATGTTCGCGTCAACCTGGCAAGTAGGCTTTCGACGTTGTCTTCGAAATGACAACGTTAGCTTCCAACGTGAAAGCTCATGAAGAGCATCTTGGGCTTCCGACAGAACCGGGCAAATCCACCAGGGTGCATTTTCGATAGAGCGCAATGCATCATACGGTCTCCGTGGCGGTGGAGTTCTTATCGATGACCCGACGTGCACCCTGGATGTCTTTCTTTTGGGATTTTCTTTTTTTTTTGGCACCCGCGTGACTCACCCAGGCAGCCGATGGTTCCATCCAGGCCGATGTAGTTGAGGTCGGCCTTGGCCGCCTGCCGGTCTCGCGGGTCCTCCTGGGTCCAGTCCTGAAGGGCGAAAACCTCCCCCTGCCGGTAGGCGGCGTTGGAGTCAAAGTTGATCTTGGCGTCCATGCACATCACTGGAGGTCGGAAAGGCAAACAAGCACGAGTTTCCGTCGGCGGCTCCACTTTTGTTCGGTGCGGCGCGTACGTGCGCGCATACCGACGCCCGAGGAGTCCTCCACCATGGGGTTGATCTCCAGCATGGATGCGTCGTACTTGATGAAGACGTTGTAGAGCTTGATCATGTTCTCGGCGGCCTCCTTCTGCAGCGGCTGCGGGAAGCCCATCTTCTGCGCCACCTGCGGCCCAGTTGCGCATGGTGAGCAGCTACTCGCGCGCCTTCTTATCATTATTTTTGGGGGGGTTCGATTCTCTTATGCTTGCGTGACGAATCCACTTGGTGGACCGACGACTGTGGCGAGCCGAAACAGCAGCACCGGGTCAGATGCATTGAACAACCCCCCATTTTTGATTTTTGATTTGACTCGGGCGTTCAATCTACAATTACTAAATGTAGAATCCCCCCCACCAAACCCCCCAAAAAAATTCTAGAAAACAATTCAAAATATTTGCCTTGTGTAAAATGTTGTTGTGAAAATATTATGATTATTTTTTCAAAAAAAAAATATTGCTTCCAATGTACTTTTTCTGACATTACAACTGTAAGAAATATCATTCTGACTTTCTCGAAAAAAAAATATTTGCTATTTCAAAGTATCCCCATTTTTTCTTCAAAAACTCGATTCTCATCATAGTTTTTCTCTCCAATGCCGGCCAGGTGACGAGATCTTACGAGCGTTCCGAAAATCAGAAGTCCTTTTTGATTTGGTCATACTGTTCACTTTGGTGTGACCAACACTGGAATTTACGAGTCCTCCTTTTCCATATGACGACATATTGAAAAATGAGCCTCGAAATGAACGGAACAAAAAAAAAAAAAAGTGACTTTCATCTTTGGCCAATTGTTCAACAACAAGTTGAATGAAAGTCATCTAAAAGTCAAGCGGCTCAGTGTCTGGTCTCCGGTAAAGCGGAATTGTGATGGACGGCGAACGCGCAAAGCGTGAAAGGACGCTTTTCGGATTTGGGCACGGCCGAACAAGCGCACACAATTCCTCTTATCGGGCGTGTTTTTCTTTTCTGCGACGGCGATCGATCCCCACCTTGAGCGCCTGTTCCATCTTGATGCCCTCCACGATGTCGATGGGCTCCTTGACAATGGCGTCGGGATTTTCCGCCGCCACGTCCTCGATATTGACGCCCCCCTGCGAGCTGCCGATCAACACGGGGCCCTGCGGCAAACGCACGCACACAAACACCGCTTTCAAAATATCAATGCGCACTTCAGTCTGAATGCCGCAAGCACCTTTTGTCCTTTTCTAAATGCGGAAGTCACATATTGATTGTTACGCTCCTCCGAATCTCCCCGGCAAACTGCTGCGAGCGTGTTTGTTTAGCGGGGAGAAAAAAAGGAAGAAAGAAAAAAAAAAAACCCAGATCGGAGAACTTTGCAATATGCTGCCATCAAGTGGCGTCCCTGAGCGCAAACATCTCACAAATGGTACGAGCCGCTTCCTAAATCTTTGACGGCAATTGAATTGAAAGGGAATGAAAAGTGTTTTGGGTTATGGAAAATCCAAATTTCTTCTGAAAGAAAGAATGTGACTCCGGTGGTAAGATTTTGGCGGTCAAGTGCGGGCGTACCTGGAAGGACCTCTCCATGGTGATGGCAAAGTAGTACTCCCTGCGCGGGTAGCGCCTCTCGCAGATGAACACCTGGTTGCAGATGCGACCCGCCTCGCCCGTCTGCTTGGTGTACAGCTTGCGCCCGATCATCTGCGACGAAATGTCCCGCGCCTCCTCGGGCCTGCAGCACGCCACAATTTGCAAGGTCGAGACGTATTCCCGCACAGTTAATATAGTTGACTCTTCCAGAGCAAATTTAAAAGAAAAAAAATAAAAGCCGCTCATGACATTTCACCACGACGTGTCTTCCGACATTTGTTGAATGCGCTCGGTTTGGGAATGCGCTTGCGTTTCAGATCCCAAGTCAGACAAAGCGCTCGAACTTTGCCCGTGCCCGAGGCTCAAGCGAGCTCGTACTGTGATGACGTCATCATGATGGCGGAGATGGGAAGCGGCGCGCTTACGAGTAGACGATCCGGACGCCTCCCTTCAGTCCGCCCTCGAATGTTCCTTTCCCGCGCCCGCCCGCCAGCACCTGAGCTTTCACCACCAGGTCCTTGGAGCCTGACAGCCACACACACAGAATGACAAGGCCACATGGGAGGAGGATCTGGTCAAAATCCAACTCCATTCAAGTTACACCACAACTCGTATCCTGTCCAAAAGTAGGATGACAATATTGATTTGGCTAGTTTATTTCGTGAAAAAAAAAAAAAAAAAGTTCTGAAATCCCGTTGATACAAATTTTTTAGGAGAAAAATCTGTCATTTTTGGGAAGCAAAAAAAGAAAAAGGTCAAGAAATCTAATTATTGTTTCCACTTTTTTCCTGCTGACAATATTCACTCAGATTTTACCTGTGTATTATTACGTTTTATTCCAAAAACATCACTATTCTTCTAACTTGTTTTCATAAAGAGAATTCATCCTTAAAATTTTTTTTTCAAATACTACTGTATCCTCATTAAAAAAAAAAATGTACTGAAATCCCGTTGATACAAATTTTTTAGGAGAAAAATCTGTCATTTTTGGAAAGCAAAAAAAGAAAAAGGTCAAGAAATCTAATTATTGTTTTTCACTTTTTTCTTTCTGACACTATTCACTCAGATTTTACCTGTGTAATATTACGTTTTATTCCAAAAACATCACTATTCTTCTAACTTGTTTTCATAAAGAGAATTCATCCTTAAAATTTTTTTTTCAAATACTACTGTATCCTCATTAAAAAAAAAAAAAAATCAAATAAATCAATGTTTGGTCCCATTTTGAAAACAGTTTTTGTGCATGAACATTTTCTCCCTGAGAAATGACACATCTTTTTTTCCCTGGCTTGCTTTCTTTCTACAACAAAAAAAACCAACTGCATTCCTAGTAGCCACGTTGATTTTCGGGTGAGGGCAGAATAAGCGGTGGGTGCCCTTTGTAAAAAAGGGCCCCACCAGTCAAATGACAGGGCGGCTGTTGTCACCTGACGCCACTGAGGCACAGACGCCATGTTTGGTAGCACCAATGGCTATTTCAGACACACACACACACACACACAAAAGCTCAATGGAGCGCCTTCTTGCTATGTTGCAGACACACATGCGTCTTGTTGGACCTCTGTCTAGGACCGTTCACTCGATTCGATTTTGATTCCCCAGTGGAGTGATCAGGGCGCTATTCCTTTGTTTGCGCAGCGGCCCGAGCGTGGTTTTTGCTTTACCGGTACTGACCGATCTGCTTGGCGACGGCGTAGGCCTCGTCCGAGGAGCTGGCCACCATGCCGGCGGGCACCGAGATGCCGGCGTCCTTCAGCAGTCCGATGCTCATGTACTCATGGAGGGACAGGCTCCTCTGCTGCTGCTGCTGCAGCGGCGGAGACGTCGACGCATTTCTCCATTGCGGTGTGGGACAAATAAAAGATATCTTATCTTATCTTTTCTTATCTTATCTTTAGTAGCCACGTTGATTTTCTGGTGAGGGCAGAATAAGCGCTGGGTGACCTTTGTAAAAAAGGGCCCCACCAGTCAAATGACAGGGCGGCTGTTGTCACCTGACGCCACTGAGGCACAGACGCCATGTTTGGTAGCACCAATGGCTATTTCAGACACACACACACACACACACAAAAGCTCAATGGAGCGCCTTCTTGCTATGTTGCAGACACACATGCGTCTTGTTGGACCTCTGTCTAGGACCGTTCACTCGATTCGATTTTGATTCCCCAGTGGAGTGATCAGGGCGCTATTCCTTTGTTTGCGCAGCGGCCCGAGCGTGGTTTTTGCATTACCGGTACTGACCGATCTGCTTGGCGACGGCGTAGGCCTCGTCCGAGGAGCTGGCCACCATGCCGGCGGGCACCGAGATGCCGGCGTCCTTCAGCAGTCCGATGCTCATGTACTCATGGAGGGACAGGCTCCTCTGCTGCTGCTGCTGCAGCGGCGGAGACGTCGACGCGCGGCCTCCAAACAGACTCGAAGAACCTGCCAGGACCTGAGCACGTGCGCACAATGAAATGAGGCGAGCGGGCACAAGTCATCAAATTTCCATCACGAGCGCCATTTCAGCAGCCGCGATGAAATGAAGCTGATCCTCGGCCAGATTTTACATTTCAAATACGGATGCTGCCGCATAGCTCACCGAGCGCCTTCTCGAGCGGCGGTCAACCAATCACCTGCCTCAAGAAAGTGCCAAATAAGAAGTGAGCGCACCCTGCGGCAGGGGCGTCAAGTCGCTCGGTGAAGGATGATGAGGAGCATCGTGGTGAGGAGCGAGGATGCCTCAAAAGGCATCGACATCCATCGTCTGGTTCGAATTCAAGGCAAGAGACGTTCAGGGGAGATTTGTTTTCAGCAAACTAATGTTGAATACTACCTACAATCAATGAAGTGAAAACAGAGGTACCACCCAAACGGAAATAAAATGAAAAATATTGAAAATGAATAGGTGAATAAACAGGTGCCAAATGGCAGTATGGGGGAGTGGGGGTCCCGCTACATGTTGAACGGCAAAACACCCACGTGATCGATTCCGACGTTTGACGCGTTTACGACAATTAATGACGACATTCGGTATCTTGTTTACTTGCATTAGCTATGCTACGCTGACACATTTAGCACATGAGAGTGGAGGATAAACACACTTGTCCGGTTAAGGTTGGAGGTCACCAAAATGTCAGCTCGCTGCCAACATTCAACCATCAAACGCCAAGAAGAGCAGGACTTTTGCGCGGCTATTTAAGGCTTGGCATTAAAGCTAACATTCGCGTTAAAAGGGGGACTAGCAATGAGGCTAATGTCCGTTTGACCCTGTCACTTCCGTGGCTGCTGCGGGGGTGAAAGGAGGCCGTGACGGCGTCCCTCCGACCGGCCGCTCGGCGACCGAAGCCTTCGCTTTCAGGTGGTCAAAAACTCACCTTGGAAACGGAGCCCATGGCGCCTCTGGGCGCCGAATTCTTCAGGCTTGCCGTCAAACGGCTGCAGATCAGGGACGCCGCCATGTCTGCTTGTCGGGCGACGACTGGTCGTGCGCATGCGCGGTGTACGGCAAATTCCAGCTGGCGTTGCGTTTAAAAATGTAGGACACGATCAAACCGATGTCAAGCCGTTGACCACCTTTTCGACAACGTGCGGACGCCATAACCCGTTTCAAATGATGCAAATGTAAACTGTCAACAAATGACTTCGTGTGTTCCCGAAGGCGTCACAGCCATGAAGCTGGTAAATTTGCAGCGATCGTTTTGTTCCGAATGCTTCCTAACCGTAAGTTTAGATTTGTAAACTAGCAACAGTAACGATTCAAGAAGCTACACAAACAACAATATTCCAGCTGGCGTTGCGTTTAAAAATGTAGGACACCGTTGACCACCTTGTCGACAACGTGCGTACGCCATAACCCGTTTCAAATGATGCACCGTAAACTATCAACAAATGACTTCGTTCGTGTGTTCCTGAAGGCGTCACAGCCATGAAGCTGGTAAATTTGTAGCGATCGTTTTGTTCCGAATGCTTCCTCACCGTAAGTTTTAGATTTGTAAACTAGCAACATTCACGATTCCAGAAGCTACACAAACAACAGCGTGTCAAATGGAGCCTACACTATTACATGACTGTATTTCTTATCCATGTACGCACAACGCACTATTCTAGACGGTCCGTGAACGGCACATCGTCAGGCATCAGTTGGTTACTTTGATCTCGAATAACGTGTTTTTAAAAGCAATGTCATGACAATGTTTCAGTAAAGACAATTACCTATAAAACGTAATTAGCATTATTACTCAGTTCAGGATCTTGCATCCACCAATTATATAAAGTCATAGAAGAAAACGGCGATGTTTCTAGTGTCTGTGAAAGAATGACGCGGCAAGTGAGCTTACCTGCTTTTTTCGGGGGTCTTCATTAACAATTGAATTTCGTCTAAGTCTTCAATGAAATGTACTTATTCCATCCTTTTCCAATTGTATCTTTTTTTTATCCACAGGATCTTGCATCCACCAATTATATAAAGTCATAGTAGAAAACGGCGATGTTTCTAATGTCTGTGAAAGAATGACGCGGCAAGTGAGCTTATCTACTTTTTTGCGGGGGTCTTCATTAACAATTGAATTTCGTCTTCAATGAAATGTATGTATTCCATCCTTTTCCAATTGTATCTTTTTTTAGGGAAAAGGTAAACTCCGGTGTCCCCAGCAAACAAACTTGTAGTTGAATTACAAAGCCCATTCTTTCCTTTTTACATCATCAAATAAATATCTGTACAAAACACATTTCGACTCAAAAGTTTTATTAACAAAAATAATTAAGAACACGACAAAGGCACGCACGCAAAGATCTTTCAGTCCGAGTCGCTGCTGCTGCTGGAGGAGTCCGTGGACATGGCCTCCACGTCATCCTCGTTCTCCTTGTTGTGCCCGGGCGGCTCCAAACCGAAGTCGCCGGCGTGGTGCGGCGGCAGCATGCCCGCCGACAGCTCCGATG